CATAACATCTGCTTCAGCACAGCCAGGAAAAGTAGGTGGGAAAAATAAATCAACCTTGAAGATAAGTAACTAAAGATATCCCCAGATATACCTTATCTCCCCACCTCAACCTTTGTGTGAACCTCCCAGATGTCTCACAGTGGCCTGAAGTGGTCTTTTAAATTTAAAATAAGAAATGATGTTCATACCCCATGGTTATATGTTTATGTGAAAACAAAACGGATCTATCAAAAAAAGAAAAACAAAACACAGTTCTTCTTTTATACATAAAAAAACACTGCTTAAATATTTCAGTTACTGTTCACCTTTTATTTCTGGTATCAGTACCAGAAATGAGGCTTCGTACTGAATGTGTATGAGCAATCTTAAATTATTTCAGAAATGTGTGCAGTTTTGAAAATGTTAGAAATGTCTGTAAACAAACTAGAATAAAATAAGGTTGTATTTTCCTGTAATAATTTATAGACATTTGGCTTCTATTGCTTCTGCTTAGCCGAAACAACAGGTTGTGATTGTAGTGCAGTGTTGAATTCAGTCAGTGCTTAATTATGATAAAACTTTTGTTTTATGTTTAAAATAGAGCAAATGCTGATATCTGTTCAAAGATCACATTAATTACTTTTTATTGCAATGTTTTTGATACAGGGCTATTTGTGAATATGGATATTTTGCAATCAAGATGAATTATTGCAAAATTAGCATTTTCTGTATTTAACAGCATACACTACAATCAAACTTTAACTGACCTGTTTCATGTGATATATGCAAGGTAAACAGAATTTCAGTATGTTAATATAATGTGTGGACTGTTGACTTACATTTAACTAATACAGTAATGTCATAGGAAACATCAAATGCTGCCATGAGCATGGAACCTCTAGCTTCTTGAGGAGGCAGTATTGAAAATGAAATACGGAGTGTTACATTTGATAAAGATTTGATAAAGGGCAAGGCTCTTTATGTAAAGTCCGACTCTTGATGATTAAAGCTCAAAACCCTTCATTCCACTGACTTGTTCAGTAAACACACTTTTGGCCTTGGCCTCATATTCCTGTTCACTTCTGGCCATTTTGATGTACACTTAGCTCCACCCCTGAGTTAAGATTTGTCAAAGAGCAAATTTCCAAGAATTTGATCCAGTTTTTCAAAGGTTGCATAACACTGTGATACATATATGCCAGATGCTTTACTGCAAACTGTGAAGATACAGACATGATGAAGTTTGTGGTTCTCGCTCTGTTTGTTGCTGGCAGTAAGGATTTTCTTTGTTACTGGAAACATCACACAGCC